TTAAATATAATCTTTAACAACATTCATAACATACAAAAACACATTTTGACTTTTCCCCATTTAATAAGTGACTCACTCTGTTAACTTTATGTAAGAAAGAACATGAATTGCTGGACAATAAAGTTTAAGAAAGAAATTTCATATTGAGTTTTAGTCCTGCTTGTATCTTATAGGACTAAAACTAGACAAAAGCTGCTTTTATGACCTGATGTTTAGAATTCTTGTATTTATGCTTAAAAATTAAATGAGTTTTGCTAATAATTTTTGTTTAGTTTCTAAGCAGGAAGAAAGAAGAGATTTCAGGCTGCTGTTTCTAAGTGCTTTCCCACAAATACCACAATGTAGGTGCTTTACCCAATGTCTGAATAGACAAATCGGTTATAAGTTTTCCTATATTTTCCTTTTTTAGCATTGAATTTTGACAGCTTAACGTGTTGTGTGATAATTTTGATCAGAATGCAATAAAGATCTTGTGACGATGATCACGAAGGAAATTGGAAGAGTTATTATAAGGCTTACAACCTTTGTTGGCTTCTGGAATTTCAATGTCAGTGTTTTCTTAGTTTCCTGACTTTAAGCAATGGTACATTCCATGAGGCAAGAAGAGAGTAAATGGCAAAGAAAAGGAACAATTTAAGGTTGTGCAATGGTCAAGACCAAGTCTGACAGTGTTCACTAAATCAGGTAAATGGATCAACTGAGCCATAAGAACACTTGTGTGGTCTCCACCAAGCCTGTCGCTGGTCACTTACACCTCACTCAGACGCTCTTTTTCTTTTGTTAATGGGAAATACTAGGTACGTACGTATGTATGTATGTATGTGTGTATATATGTATGTATGATGCGACCCGCGCATCAAATGAGCACTCCTGATTCGTCAGCCAGGAGTCTACCGAGAGGGTACCTGAGAGGATTGGGTGGGAGACTGGAAAATAAAGAGACTAGAGACGAAAGCTGGGAACAGGAGGTCCACCCAATGCTGATATCAGAGAGAGGCCCCGCTTATTGTTTACACACAGCTTTTATAGCAAAAGTAGCTTTTCTTAGGTATGGGGGTTTTGGGAACTTGAGGAAACAGTCCCCTCCTCCCAGAGAACAGCTCCCCTGGGGCTTTCCATAAGGTGTAGGGAAGCAATCTTCCCAGGGTTAAAGCAAAACATAACAAGCAGAAACTGTTAATAGGATGGCATTCCACTCTGTAGCTTTCAAGGCTGTTGGCTGTTTTCTCCTCAGCGGCCAACCTTCCCATGCTGCTCACCCGGGCCTGAGAGCCTGTCAGCCTGCCAGCTTTCAGGCTTAACCCTTATTACAGATCTCCAGCTCTCAGGCTTAACCCTTACTGCAAGCCTCCGGCTCCCTACATATGTATTTTTTAATGGAATTCTATTCCTGCCTTTTACGATGTGAATCCCTATTTCCCCCAATATTTTATTATGAAAAAAATTTCAACACAGAAAAGCTGAATTACATAGTGAACAGCCACGTGTTCACCACCTAGATTTTATAATCGTGAACATTTTGCTTTACTCACTTTATCATTGATCCATCCTTCCATCCATCCATCCATCAATGCACTTTATGTGTGGTGCATTTCATAGTAAGGTGCAGGTGTCAGTTGGTTAATGTTGTGATTATTTTAGTAAAGACTGATCCACTATATGGTTTGCTGTTTGCAATGTTCCTGATAATATTCATAAACCTTAGGGAACATAGTGATTGTGTTTAAAGAGATCACATATCCTTCATTTAGTGTTTAGTCCCACAAAAGAAAAGTATCCCCAGATTTTGTTTTTAGTTAATATTTATTAAGAATCAGATGTAAAAAGCACCCAACTCCCACCAATAACTAAAATGAAAGATTCACAACACCAAAAGTTGATGAGGATGTGAACCAACCAGAATTCTTACGTATTGTGAGTAGGGATGTAAAATGGTGCAAGCACTTTGGAAAACTGGAAGTTTCTTAAAGAGCTACACACACATCTACCTCAGTGATTCTCAAAATGACAATGATGTCGAGGTTGAGAAACCCTGATCTACTCCACGACCCAGCCATTCCATACCTAGGTATTTACACTAAAGAAAACATATGCTCACAAAAATGTCTTGTACTAGAATGTTCACAGCAGGCTTATTCATAATAGTCCCAAACTGGAAACAGAACTCAGATGTCCATCAACAGGAGAATAGATAATTAAATTGTGATCTGTCCATACAATGGCATACTACTTAGCAATAAAAAGGAACAAACCACAGATACATAAAACAAGATGGCTGAAAATTAACATACTACCACAAATTATGGTGCCTTAGCATACTGGATATTTTAAGTTAAAGGAGTTGAGAAATGGCAGGTGCAGACTCTCTGACCTTGCCCTGACGCAGGTCATGGGACCCTCGTGTGAGATGTGCCCTCCCTGTACATGGAGGAAAAGAACATCCTTATTTCTGAAGATAGAAGACACCAAGAGGAATATGAATGAACATGCCTTGCTAAGTTTCCCCCAGTTTCTCTCTGAGCTCATACCCATTTGTCACATTTTCCCACTAATCACTATAAAAACACTCAAGTTTAATGGCTTCTTCAGGTCTTCGTTTCCTTGTGGAGGCTTCCTGTCACGTAAAACATATTAGTAAATTTATATGCTTTCCTCTTGTTTATCTATCTTTTGTAACAGAGTCCCAGCTGAGAACCTAGAAGGGTAGAAGGGAAAAAACCCTTTTTATTCTGTCCCATAAAATAAAACAAAGTACAAAAATTATAAACTGTAATGATTGAATTTGTATGAAATTGTAGAATAGGTGAAATTAAACTCTAGTGATAGAAAACAGATAGATCAGTGGTTGCTTCTTGCGGGTGGGAGATTGGGAAGGGGAATGAGGAACCTTTCTGAAATATTTAATAGGCATTTGGCAAAAGTAGTTGACTAGTACACTTAAGATCTGAGCATTTGACTGTAAATTATACCTCAAAAGAATGGAAAAAAAGTGTGTGTGTGGGAGGCGGGGCAGCCAACCCGTGGGTTTGGAAGATCTTTTTCTTTCAATCATCTCTCCATTGGTTGCTCCTCATACCAAACACTTACATTTTCAGTCTTTTTCATTTTAGCCGGTCTAATGTGTAATCGTATTCCATTATGGGTTTAGTTTACATTTCCCCAAAGACTAATAAAGTTGAGCATCTTTTTTCATTTTATTGGCCTTTGGATATCATCTTTCTGAATTGTTTGTTCTAGGTTTTTGCCCATTTTTCCACTGGGAAAATATATATCTCTTGTAGGAGATTTTTTTTTTTTTAGCTTGTAGACTTTATATATTCTGGATACAAGGCCTTTGTCATATATATGTACATTACTGTAAATATCTTCTACTCTATAGGTTGCCTTATCACTCTCAATGGTGTCTTATGATGAATAGGTGTTCTTAATTTTAATGTAGTTCAATTTACATATTTTCCATTTATGATCAGTGCTTTTTCTGTCCTGTTATAAACTTATTTCCTACATCAAGGTCATGAAGATGTTCTCTTATGTTTTCTGCTAAAGGAGTTATTGTTTGACATTTAAAATATAGATTGGCAATCCAAATAAAATTATTTTTGTTTATAATCTGATTCCAAATAAGGTTTTTTCATATGGATTTCCAAATAACCTAGCACCATTTTTTGAAAAGACATTTTTTTCTCCATTGATACAATCCTGGAAGACTTGTAGAAAATGTATTTTTTATATATATATATAATATATAATATATATAATATATTATATATAATATAATATATAGTATTTACATGAATATAGTGTTTATATATAGTATATACATATACTATACAGTGTTTATATATAGTATATATAGTGTTTATATATAGTATTTACATAAATGGTTTTATATATATATAAATGGTTCAAATTCTACACACAGTTCTATGGTCTATTTTCACGCAATACTGTTAACAAACATAGCCTATTAATGGCTGCATAGTATCCCATTATATGGGTGTACCATAATTTAATTAATTCCCTTAGACATTTAGAGTTTCCAATTTTTGTTATTGTTGTTATTAAGGTGCTGAATGAACATTTTGTCCAAAGTGAGTGCCAGTTGTTTGTTTCCTAAAGATAATCTAGGAGTGGGAATTTCTGGGCTAAGGTGCAAGGCCATTTTAAAGCTTGTTTTTTTTTAAGGTTTATACCAATTTTTACTCCCACTCACAGAATATAAACCTGTTTCTCCATATTCTCACCAACAGTGGCCATTATCGCTCTTTTAAAATCTTTGCTAAATCGGGTGAAAAGAAAACTTGTTTTCATTTCCAATTCTTTTTTCATAGGTCAAACAACTTTGTATATCCTTATTGGCTATGTGTTGTACTTCTTTTGGATGGCGGATTCAAATTTTCGTTCATTTTTCTCCTGAGATTGTCTTTTTCTTATTGGTTTATAAACATAGATATGTGATAATAACAGAGTGTTATCTCGCAGTTTTCCCAGTTTGGCTTCTAACCTCAGGCTGTCTTTTAAGCATCAGTTTTCACTCAACTTGTACTCAGAACGAACTTTCACTGAACAGCTAGCTTTAGAAAGCCTCTGGGGTCCAGGGACTAGGTGGGCGGAGCCAGCGTGTGCTGGACAGGTGTGCCCCGCCCCGCCCCCTCAGGGAAGCTCCGTCCGAGTGCACAGTTTAGTTTCCTTAGAGCTGCTTCTCACTTCCAGTGACCCGCGGAGAAGCAAAACCAAGCGAGCGGAGGCCTCAGCAGTCGCCGGCGTGCGTAAGGTTGACGCGTGACGTCAGCCCGGCTGAAAGGCGCGTGCGCAGTTTGTCTGTCAGGGCCCCTGGGCCGCCGTCTGCCGGCGTTCGGTGGCGGCGCGGCTTGGGAGTGGGTTTTCGCTTTAGGTGTCGCGAGGGCGGGTCTAGGCTTCCTTGCAGGTCTCCCGGCGCTCCACCTCACTCCCCTGCGGTGTGTGTGTGTGGGCGCCGTAGGGCCCTCAGGAGCGGAAGTGGAGAATGACCCCCCTCAAGTGAGGAGAGCGAGTGAAGCGCAGCCTCTCTAGACTCGGGGCCGAGGTGGGCGTGAACGAAGGTAATCCAGGCCTGGGTGCCGAGCCGGGGTCGTCCTTCCACCTTGCAGTGGGTGTGGCAGGGGCTGGGACTGAGGTTGCTCTGGGTCAGGGACCGGGCCGCTTGAAATTTCCACGGGCTGAAAGGAGATCTTGGGTGCCCCTGGCCCAAAGTAAAGCACTGGACCCACATTATGATTTTCACAGTTGCCGGGAGGAGGAGTTGGCAGAAACACTTCTAGAACTCCTGTATAAGTGTTAATTGGAGAAAGAGAGCAACTGTTGACGAGGCCTTGTGGGTTTTGTGTTAGGCCCATGAATTTTGCAGGTATTCCCTTTGTGGCTTTTGGCAGGGGCCACTTGACTTCCTACTCGAGTCTGCAAAATAAGAATGGTAATACTGACCCTTCTGTCAGAATTATGATGCCACAAAGCTCTATGGGCTGCTTAATGAAAGGGATAGAGGAACACGAACTGGAAACTTTCTCATGTTCTTTAAACCACATGCTTTTTTTGTTGTCATGCATTTGAAGTGCTGAAATGAAGTTGAAGTGCATTATGATTCATATTCAAAACCTAATCAGGAGTGCCTTTTGTACTAAAATGATATCCATTCATTTCTTGGCAAAATGCGTATTGAATGCTTACAGTGTATGAAGCACTGTTCTAACCTCTTGAGTGACACTGCTGAAAGAACAGTACAGAGTAAATGCTAATAGAAGACAGTCTGGATATTATTTTTATTGTACTAGCTCAGCTTTATTTCCCATTTTAATCATCAAATATTGGCTTTTGTGAGGTGGTGGTTTAGTTGCCAGTTTTTAGATTATTTTTGAAGACTGGTGTAGAATGCATTGGCTGTATTAGATGCAGAACTCATGAACTGAAGCATCTGTTGGTGAACATTGTGCTAACAAGTACATTTGACTTTCTAACAAGCAGGGGTTAAGGGCACCAACCCCATGCATAACTTTCGACTCGCCAAAAACTTAACTACTAATATAATAGCCTGTTGACTGGAAGCCTTACTGATAAGATACAGTTGATTAACACATATTTTATATGTTATACATATTATATACTGTATTCTTACAATAAAGTAAGCTAGAGTAAAAAAAATGTTATTAAGAGAATCATAGGGAAGAGAGAATACATTTATGGTATTTACAGAAAAAAGTATGTGTATAAGTGGACCTATACAGTTCAAACCCATGTTGTTTAAGTATTACCTGTACCATTGTAATACTCATTGCTCTATCTGCTGGAATAACTTTTTCAACACTATGCTATTAAGTTATGCTTCTTTCTGTTATATCCCTTTCTCTCTCCAGTGGACAGATGTTTTCAATTTCTTAGGCAATGGTAGAACACAGAATGTAGGGTGACTGTAATTTGTATCTTCAATAAAGGTATTTCTTCAGTTTAAAATTCTTCTATCAAGTTTGTTAAGTTGTAGTGGCAAGAAGAAATAATAGATTGTTAAGCATGGAGCCATCTGACTGACTGATCAGATGAGGCAGGAACCTGTAATTTAGAGACATGCCAGGATGAACTATAGGTCAATTTAAGCATTGAGCAGAAGGAGTCAAGTATACCACAGTTAACAAACAATATGTTAGTCGGTAGCTTATAAAAGTGATTTGGTACCGCCTTTATGTCTTAGCAAGAGAGTGAGGTCTGGACAGAGGACATAGTTGGCAATTCCAGTTGGTGAATAAGTGGATAGTGGTAAGAGAGGCCTGGTAGCAGGACCAGTATTGGGTTCAGGTGCAGGATCCTCTCTTGGAAGCAGGTGAGATTCTGAGGGAGCTTAAAAAAAAGCTGAGTCACTTGTTAGAGCTTGATCTAATGATCAGAGGTCATGTTCAGGCATAAATCTTAGTCTAAGAGTGTGTTTGGAGCTCTGTGGGTAGTGTCTCAGCCATGGGTAGAGAACTTTGGGGAGCAGCTAGAGGGGCTACTAGGGCAATATGAGCTGCTATTCACTGATGAGTATTCTGTACTATATGCCTTGTATATGCTAGCATGTTTTATCCTCATCTAAAGAAATGATACCTCAATTTTTTGAATAAGAAACTGAGACTCAGAGATGTAAAATAATTTGCCCAAGGCCACTTACTAAGCTGTAAGTTGCAGAGCTGAAATTTGAGCATAGGTCTGTTGAATATCAAAGCCTTTACTCTTTCTTTATTCCAGATTGCCTCATTATATAATGGAGTCTGCTGACGTTAGCCTTCCCGTTTTATGTGGTTTGTCATGAGTGTGATCTGATTTGCTGTGGATGAGATTTCACTCACTAATAAATTTGATTCATTTAATTGTGTGTTTTCTTTTTCTAGATTTTAATTTAATTTGAAAATGAGTAAGTGCAGAAAGCCACCACTGGGTTCAAGTCCTGAGACATTCGGTCCAGATGTCATTGCTGACATTTCTGAGCTCTTTGCCAAGAACTTTTCCTATGGCAGGCCACCTAATAATGAGTGGCAGTTACCTGATCCCAGTGAGATTTTCACCTGTGACCACACAGAATTTAATGCATTTCTTGATTTGAAGAACTCCCTAAATGAAGTAAAAAACCTACTGAGTGATAAGAAACTGGATGAGTGGCATGAGCACACTGCTTTCACTAATAAAGCTGGAAAAATAATTTCTCATGTGAGAAAATCTGTGAATGCTGAACTTTGTACTCAAGCATGGTGTAAGTTTCATGAAATTTTGTGCAGCTTTCCAGTTATTCCGCAGGAAGCTTTTCAGAATGGAAAACTGAATTCTCTACACCTTTGTGAAGCTCCTGGAGCCTTTATAGCCAGTCTCAATCACTACTTAAAATCTCATCGATTCCCTTGTGATTGGAGTTGGGTAGCGAATACCCTGAATCCATACCATGAAGCAAATGACAATCTTATGATGATTATGGATGACCGACTCATTGCAAATACCTTGCATTGGTGGTACTTTGGTCCAGATAACACCGGTGATATCATGACCTTGAAATATCTGACTGGACTTCAGGATTTCATAAGCGGCATGACTACTGTTCACTTGATTACTGCAGATGGCAGTTTTGATTGTCAAGGAAACCCAGGTGAACAAGAAGCGTTAGTCTCTTCTCTGCATTACTGTGAAGTTGTCACTGCTCTGATGACTCTTGGAAATGGTGGCTCTTTTGTTCTGAAGATGTTTACTTTGTTTGAACATTGTTCCATAAACCTGATGTACCTGCTAAACTGCTCCTTTGACCAAGTACATGTTTTCAAACCTGCTACTAGTAAGGCAGGAAACTCAGAAGTCTATGTGGTATGTCTCCACTACAAAGGGAGAGAGGTAATCCATCCTCTGTTATCTAAGATGGTGCTGAATTTTGGGACTGAAATGACCATGAAAGCTCTGTTTCCCCATCATGTGATTCCCGAATCTTTTCTTAAAAGACATGAAGAATGTTGTGTGTTCTTTCATAAGTACCAGCTAGAGACTATTTCTGAGAACATTCGTCTGTTTGAGTGCATGGGAAAAGGGGAACAAGAAAAACTGAATAATTTAAGGGACTGTGCTGTTCAGTATTTCATGCAAAAGTTTCAATTGAAGCCTCTTTCCAGAAGTAATTGGCTAGTAAAAAAATCTAGTATTGGTTGTAGTACAAATACAAAATGGTTTGGGCAGAGGAACAGATATTTTAAAACCTATAATGAAAGGAAAATGCTTGAAACCCTTTCATGGAAAGATAAGGTGGCCAAAGGCTACTTGAATAGTTGGGCTGAGGAACATGCTGCATATCATTCTGGGCAAAGTACTCTTTTAGAAGGGACAGCTTCTGATCTTGAGTGTCATTTATGGCATATTTTAGAGGGAAAGAAACTGCCAAAAGTAAAGTGTTCTTCTTTCTGTGATGGTGAAATTTTGAAGGCTCTTAATGAAGCAATTGAAAAGTCATTAGGAGAAGCCTTGAATTTAGATTCCAAGTTTAGGCCCAAACAGCAGTGTTGTTATTCTTGTCACGTGTTTTCTGAAGAGCTGATATTTTCTGAGCTGTTCAGCCTTACCAAGTACATTCAGGATGAGCAGGTTGTAGAACCCAGCAACCCAATAAAGTGCCTGCTTGTGGGTTTTCCAACTCTCCATGATACCAAAATGCAGATACCATTGGAAGTTCAACGCTTGGAATCTGCTGAACTCATGACGTTTAGCTGTTCATTGCTTCATGATGGAGACCCAACTTACCAGCAGTTATTTTTGGACTGCCTTCTACATTCATTACAGCAGCTTCATATAGGCGATGTTATGATTTTGCCTGTACTTTCTTGTTTTACAAGGTTTATGGCTGGTTTGATCTTTGTGCTCCACAGCTGTTTTAGATTCATCACATTTTCTTGTCCCACATCCTCTGAGCCCCTGAAAACCTGTGCAGTTCTGCTATGTGTTGGTTATCAGGACCTTCCAAATCCAGTTTTTCAGTATCTGCAGAATGTGAATGAATTGTTGAGTGCTTTGCTTAACTCTGATGCACCCCAGCAAGTTTTACAGTTTGTGCCAATGGAAGCACTCCTTAAAGGGGCACTACTTGATTTTTTGTGGGATTTGAATGCTGCCATTGCTAAAAGACATTTGCATTTGATTATTCAAAGAGAGAGAGAAGAAATCATCAGCAGCCTTCAGTTATGAAGTTGAACTTGTCCTTTCTGAGATTTAACATTATGACTTCTTACAGTTGCCATTGTTATTACATCCCTTTGCTATTAATTTAAAACCTTTCATTTTGGGAAAAGGCCAACTTTCACATTCATTTAAAGTCTCATTGTTTCTGGAAAGGCATCAGCTAGTTCCCAGGTATATACATCCACAGGCATAGAGTTTTCCATGTGGTGGAATCTATGCAGTGATGATACTCAACCTCAAACATGAGATGTGTGTATGTGCTTGGGGATGGACACAACCATGTTTGCATATGCAGTTTAGTTGGTATTAATGTATCTGCTTAAGATTTGCACCTCTGTGCCTTCATTCAGATTTGATTTTTTTCCCCAAC